TCCTATAGGTGGAGTAAAGGTGGCCTAGGATCCTTGGCCCCTATTGTTTGTGGAGCCAAGCTCAGGATTATGCACGCAGACCCCTAGTGGCGGTCTGTGGACACAACACCCCTCCCCCCCCCATAGTTCAAAACCAGCCTAAGTGACATAGTCCTGTAAATAGACTGGTGGCTGGCACTCTCGCAGGGAACGCCAGGGTGCAGGAACGAGGTTGCCCTGGAACTGCTCCTGTCTGCCGGTCGGGCTGCTCGGTGGTGGCAGTGGCGATGGCTCCCCTACTGGCTCCTCCTCTTGCGATGCCTCTACGGGCGTTTGTGGTTGTTCCCCTCCACTTGCTTCGGGGAGGATGCTGTCGGGCACTTCGGACCTTGGTGGGGACTAGCCTCCCGTCAGGAGTTGGCACCGTCTCAGCTGGCCCACATGCTTTCTGAGAAGTTGGCCATCCTCTGTGGACACCCCGTATGAGACTGGACCCATCGGCCGGATGACTTGCTCAGCTAGCCACGGGATGACTTGCTCAGCTAGCCACGAAGTTCTTGATGAAGATGGGGTCTTCCAGGAAAAAACCTCTGGGAGCTTCTGTCTGTTTGGTCAGTCGCTGTGACTCAGGCGCCCTGTCTGGATGCAGCCGATCCAGTAGGATCCTGGGCCGCCGACCCGCCAGGAGCTCGGCAGGGCAACGGCCGCTGACAGGGTTCAGAATGGTCCGCTGGGTTAAAAGGAAGCGTGCAAGGTGGAATTCCAAGTCCCCTCCTGTGATCCAGCTGAGAGCTTCCTTTGCTGTTCTCACCAACCGCTGTCCATTGGTTGCAGGGTGGAATGGTGCAGACCTCATGTGCCGGATTAAGTTCCTCTGGAGGAAGTCCTGGAACTCTTCCAAAGTGAACGCCATCCCATTGTCGTAGGTTATCATGTCTGGAAGCCCATGGGTCACGAATATCCAGTGCAGTGCGCGGATGATGGCCTTGGAGGATGTTGTGGTGACTGGGCTAATCTCTAACCACTTGGAGTATGAGTCCACAGTGACACTAGAAAAAGCAGTCCTTGGAAGGGGCCGGCAAAGTCTATGTGGAGTTGGGACCACAGCTTGTGGGTGGATTCCCAGGACTGGGTGGGTGTGCTTGCTGGATTCGGCCGGACCTCTTGGCAGGCCAGGCATCTCCGCACCCGAGCTTGTATGTCTGCATCGATCTCCAGCCACCATACATAACTACGAGCCAGGGCCTTCATCCGGACTATTCCTGGGTGAGCCTCATATAGCGCGGCCAGGACGTGGTGTCGCAGGGCATTGGGAATGACCACCCTATCCCCCCACAGCAGGCACCCTTTATATGCTGACAGTTCATCCCCCCTAGTGAGGAATAGTATGAATTCTGGGCCCGTGGAGGTTGTGGGCCACCCCCTCACCACCCAGCCCAAGACCCGGGAGATGATAGGGTTGCAGGCCAGGAGCCGGGTCAGCCTCAACCAAAGGAAGAGGCAGGCAGCTGAGGGTGTCTGTATGGCCCATCGCCTTCCCTGGGCAGTGTTTCAAGTGGTAGTTGTAGCCCGCGAGGAAGAGGGACCAGCGGAGGACCCGGGGGGGAATACCTGGGGTGTCCGTTTGTCTGCTGCAAAGAGTCCGAGGAGAGGCCAGTGATCCGTTGCAATGGTGAAGGGTCCACCATACAAGAAGTCCTGGAACTTCTTGACACTCGCAACGATTGCCAGTCCTTCGCAATCGATCTGAGCATAGTTGCACTCCACCACCGACAAGGTCTTTGAGTAATAGGCCACAGGAACCTCCCAACCGTCTGGTAGGACGTGGCCCAACACTGCACCCATGCCATAGGGAGAAGCATCGCAGGCCAGGACCACCGGCAGGACTTTGTCGAAATGCGCTAGCACATCATTGGAAATTAAGAGCGCCTTGACCCCCCGGAATGCTGCGGCCTCCCGTGGGCCCCAGGACCAAGGTGCTTTTTTGTCCAACAAGCGGTGCAGGGGCTCCACAACCGCCGCCTTGTGGGGGAGAAAGGCGTGGTAAAAGTTCAGAAGGCTGAGTAACGCCTGCACTTCCGCCTTTGAGTTGGGTGGGGGTGCTTCGACAATGGCCTTGACCTTGTCCCTCGCCAGATGGAGGCCGTCTGCATTCACTGTGAACCCCAAAAAATCGACCTCCAGGACTCTCAGGAAGCACTTTTCCTTTTTTACCTTGAGCCCCGCCTTGTTGAAGTTGCGAAGGACTGCGCGGAGACAGGAGGCAAAGTCATCTGGGGTGGCCGCGGCAATTAAGACATCATCAAACAATGGCATCACTCCAGGGATCCCTTTCAAAAGCAAGTTCATAAGATGCTGAAAGATCCCTGGGGCCACGCTCACCCCGAACTGCAGCCGTTTCACTTTGAATGCCCCTCGGTGCATGGCATCATCTACAGGGAGCTGCTGGTATGCCTGGGCGAGATCCAGCTTGCCAAAAATCTTTGCCTCCGCCAAGGTGGCCAAAACGTGGCTAATGACTGGGATCGGGTACGCATGGTCCTGCAGTGCATTTGTAATCCACCAGATGCTGATATCACCATTTGGTTTTACTGGGGTGACGATGGGGGTCGCCCATGCCGCATGGGAAACCGGCTCTAGGACCCCTTGCACCACCAGGCGATCCAGTTCCGCATCAATTTTTGGATGCAGGGCAAATGGGGCGTTACAGAATCGCATGCGGATGGGGGCCACCTTGGGGTTGAGTTGGAGGGAGACCGGGGGGGGGGCGTGTAACACCCTAGAGCCCCATCAAAAATGGCTAGGAACTCCTCACAGACCTCACAGAAGTCCTGTGGGGCAACATTGCTTCATTCCCTCTATGGTGATTCCCAATGGTGCAAACCACGCTCTATCCAGGAGACTGACTAGGTTTCCCTCGACCACGATTAAGTCCAGATGGCCATTGAACTCCCGGTACTGCACTCAGAAGGCCCCCACACCCCGTATAGGGACTGGGTTCCTTTGAAAGTCCACCAGGTTCGATGCTGAGGGTCACAGGCGGGGCCCCCCTTTCGGACAAAATCTTTTCAGCGTTTCCACCGAAATGATGGACGCCACGGACCCGAAGTCTAACTCCATGGAGCAGGGGGACCCTTCTATCTGAATCTGGACCTTCATTTTAGGGGCTGCTGTCTGGCTGGGGAGACGTAATACCTGGAGTGAAGGTTGGCTTGTAAGAAGGTAGAGTTCCTCCATGCCCGCTGTGGCCTAGTAGTGCGCCGCGGCCCGGCAGCATGGTTCCGGCTGAGAATTTGAGGTCTGGGCTCCTTTGGAGTTGCATGCACGGGCTAGGTGTCCTTGCTTTCCGCACATTTGGCATGTAACGTCGTGGAAACGGCACGACCTGCATTTGTGGGTGTCTCCACAGCTGGCACCCGGTACTCAGCCAGTGGACTTGTCGGGGTGTTCAGTCGCTCCGGCAGGCCTGGGAGGCTTCCTGCGGCTGGAGGAGCAGATGAGCTGGATGTCCTCTTCATCTGAGTTGTTGGACGCTGCTTCAGGACACATGAAGTGTGACGTCGATGGCGGACAGTCGTGGTGGGAGGCTTCATAGATGGTGGCGAGCTGTAGGGCATCATCAGTTTTGAGGTCGGCGGTTCCTACCAGCTTGCGGCGGAGTTTGGTGTCTCCTAGACCCCAGACGAACTGGGTCAAAATGTTCTCCTCCACCTTCATGAACCCACAATCCATCGCATATTGGTGAAGGGCAGCCATGAAGGCAGCAGCCGTCTTGCTGGGCTTCTGGAGGTGCGCTTGGAAGTCCATGCGTTTAGCTATAGTTGTGGGCTTGGGCACATAGTACTTGGTCAAGACCGCGACAATCTCCTCGTGCGTATTTTCTAGGAGCGTCTTGGGAGCCAGGAGGCTTTTTGCTAGTCAAATGGTGGCCACCCCACATGAGCTTAGGAGGAGAGCCCTTTTCTTGCTGGCGTCAGTGACCTCGTGGTAGGCGAGATATCAGGTTAACTGGTTTACCCATGGGTCCCAGAACTTGGGGTGTGTGGGGTCAAAGAGTGGCTGCCATGACTCTTGAGCGAAGCGGGGAGCAGTGTCCAGGAGCGCTGTGCGCATTACGGTGCTGCTCGAGAGCAATGTGGGGCACGGCAGCTTCCACTGGATCGATGCTCAGTGCGGTGCTGGATGAAGAGTCAGGCTAGCTCATTGGGATCCCACCTTCCTCACCAATATAAAGTACTGGGTTCGCAGTATGGAGACTCGGACTACGACATGCTAAACAAGTTGTGTTTATTGTACTTCACACAAAAGACAAAACTGGCCTGCAGCGGCCAACTATATACACCCACCCCAGACACACCCCCTAGTCTCATTGCAGGGTTTGAATCTCCCGCCAAAGTTCCTATAGGCGGACTAAAGGTGGCCTAGGATCCTTGGCCCCTATTATTTGTGGAGCCAAGCTCAGGATTATGCAGGCAGACCCCTAGTGACAGTCAGCGGACACAACAGACAATTTCATACTAGTTAGTATAAACTTCCAGGACCAGAGCCCTCTTCTTTAGAAGTAATAAGAAGTGGCCTCTAGTGCACCAAAGTTTATGGTGGAATAAAATTGTGTTTGTTTGTAAGGTACCACAAGAAGATTCCTACTTCTTTTTGCTGCACCAGACTAACACAGCCTCCCCTCTGAAATTTACCTGTAAGGAGGTTTGTTTGAGAGACGGTGACTGGCCCAAGACTCGGAGTGGGGATTTGAACCCATATCTCCCAAGTCCAATACCATGCGGGCTACCCTGGGGGTGTAAATACAATAACCTATACTCTCTAGCTATCTGAAAGCAGGCCAGAAGACGCAATTTATGAACAGATTTAAATTCCTCAGGTTCCTTCCACCCTGTCCCTCTCGTGGTCGTTTTGCGCATTCCTCTTTGCCTGACAAGGAACTACATTTCCCAGCGCTCCTTTCAGGCAGGCTACCGCGGCTGCTGCTGGGCTGCGAGGGCGCCGGAGACAACTACTGCCGTTGAAGGCCGGCGGCTGCTTGCTGCCTGCTTGTGTCGCCGCTAGGTGTTTGGGGGCGCGACGCGAGGGCCATGAGTTGCCTGGGCTCGGTGCAACAGAAGGTGCCTTGCCTCTTTGTGACCCAGGTGAAGGATGAGCCCTCGGCCAAGCGGGAGCGCCAGGTACTGTCTGCAGACAGGAGAGAGAGTGGGTGCGCGGACCGGCGGGGGGCTTTCGGAAAGCGCAGAGTCCATTTCGGAACTTCTCCTTGCGCCTCCGCCATGCAGCCTGCATGTAAATTGCCGCTCATGACAGTCACGTCGTTCGGTTTAAACGTAACGTGAAGTCTCTTGGGAGAGACTTCGAAGGCTACCAAAATCCGGGCTCAGTCTACATGCTGGAAAAGCTCTGCAGGCGAAGCAGTGGCATGTAGGACACTTGTGCATTTACGTGTGTGCTACGTATTATTGTCGACCTGCAAGTGTAGCTTGATAGTACCATGAATGGTTTCTGCACCTCTCTGCACGTGAAAAGCGAAGAAGCAGTAAGAACTCCTTCCGTATGTGTGATTAGTTGTGCAGGGAGTATATTCTGGCCAAGATGCTGCCTGGCCTTCCTCTCTCAACATACCTGCCTAACAGAAACTAGATAGGATTACAAAATAGTATTCCCTGTTTTATAGGACTCCCTTCAAAGTCCCGCCCTCACCTAAAGCATCCCAGTCCTGCATCAAATTACGCATTATTATTATTTTTAAATTACAGGTGCTGCTTCAAAATGGCATGCTGCAGTATTTGGATGTTCTGTTTTTCACCTCATTTGGCTATCAGAGAAGAGATCAGTATCCCAAAGTGGAGTAGCTGGAGATTCTTTTCCCCCATAGTTTCAAACTCCATACTTAATAACTAATTCAGTGGAACAGTTTTCAGAAGTAACCTTAACTATAAATTATCATTGCTCACCTTTTTTAACATTCCTTTTGAACATTTAGGATGTGGTCAACAAAGCAAAAAGTTTTGAATGAGGACTTGCTTTTCACAATGTAACCATAGTTAACATTATCCCCAGGGTACATTACTTCTTACCATTTTGGTGTTGTAGCATCTAATTTCCAACTGAAGCTTGAAAGCAACTGTTGTTTCCTTGATATTTGATGCATGGAGTCCTCGTTGCCATGGATATCTCATCTTTAAAGATTCTAAACTGGAGTCTTTCAAGATGGAGCATATTCCCACTGAATCCTTTCTGAAAGCATCTTAAAAAGTCCTCTAAATTAATGGGGTAGTTTTATTTTTCTGCCTTGTTGAATAGATATGCAGAGCTGTACCACACCCTGAAATAATCAGGCTAGGTATTATTAGAAGGCAATGGTTACCTAGCTTCTCCTTGGTAATTTTAGTCTCTTTGATAATTTCTAATTCTTGCCCTGACTGTATCGGTGAAATGGTTTATGACTGTCTTCTTCTCAGCCTTTTAAGGTGTTGGCTACTGAAATGATTACTCAGAAGGCATTAGATGCAGATATATACAGTGCAATTCCAACTGAAAAGGTGGATGGAACTTGCTGTTATGTAACTACGTATAAAGGTAATATGGAAGAACTTTCTTATTGTATTCGTAAGGCATATGTAATTCAAGATACGAGCATAATTATTTTTTTTAGAAAATGCTACTTTCTCTGAGCTGCAGTGGCTCAAGTGGTTAAGACGCTGAACTGCAAGCTGTGGAAGGGTGGTAGTCCAGCAGTTCGAGACCTGAGTGTGCCGCATGACGGAGTGAACTCCCGTCTCTAGTTCCAGCTCCTGCCAACCTAGCAGTTCGAAAGCAAGAAATTGCAAGTAGATAAATAGGTACCGCAAGACAGGGTGAGCTCCTGTCTCTAGTTCCAGCTCCTGCCAACCTAGCAGTTCGAAAGCAAGAAATTGCAAGTAGATAAATAGGGACCACTTCGGTGGGAAGGTAACAGCGTTCCGTGCGCCTTGGTGTTTAGTCATGCCGGCCACATGACCACGGAAACGTCTTCGGACAGCGCTGGCTCTTCGGCTTTGTAACGGAGATGAGCACCGCAACCCTAGAGTCGGATTCGACTGGCTTTCGAGCAAGGGAACCTTTACCTTTACCTTTAAATAGGTACCACTTCAGTGGGAAGGTAACAGCGTTCCGTGCGCCTTGGTGTTTAGTCATGCCGGCCACATGACCACGGAAATGTCTTCGGACAGCGCTGGCTCTTCGGCTTTGAAACGGAGATGAGCACCACAACCCTAGAGTCGGATTCGACTGGCTTTCGAGCAAGGGAACCTTTACCTTTACTTTCTCTGAGGTTTTCAGTACAGGAGCGATGGCTCTTTAGCCAGGTCACAAAAGGGGCCAGGATACAAACAGTATATTGACATAGGACAAGAGTAATGTGTAACCTTTCAGTTTAACCCACCAGCAAATATGGTATGATAAGTTTCAGTTGTCCTTATGCTCTACTCACAATGTGAGGCAAGGTCCAAATGCTCTTCTATAGGACCAAGTGGAAAGTGTCACGGGAGAGTTATTGTTGATATGGGACACACATGTAGATCTCTCTTCTTAGGAGGTTCTGAGGACCAGCTTTTCTTCAAAGCAATGGAAATTTCAGTAAGCGGATAAAAAAAATGGGGGCCTGTAACAGAATACCAATCTGGTGTCATGATTAGGGTGTTAGATTAGGATTTGGGAGACTCAGGTTTGAATCCCTTCTCTGCAATGGAAGCTCACTAGATGACCTTGAACCAGTGTGGTACCGTGGTCGGAATGTCAGACTAGGATCTGGGAGACCGAGATCTGAATCCCCACTCTCCTGTGGAAACTTGCTAGGTGACTGTAGGCTGGTCACACACCCCTGGTTTATCCTACCTCACTTTTAAATGGCAGTTCATTACAGTTTCACAGGCTACAGTTTCATGATGTTTAAAAGATTAAACTAAAACAAAGTCAATAGCAAATATCAATCAGGAGTCAATTTTTAATGCTGGTTGTCTAAATAAGCAGGAAACCAGTCCTGTTTGGGGATGTCTGCGGTTATACTAGGTGGCAAGTCGCTTTGTTATTCTGCTAGGCTGCCCCTGTATGAGAACAGGAAGTTGCTTTTACTCCTGCCTTTGCTAATATGACAATGAAATAACATAAGAAGAGCCCTGCTGGATCAGACCAATAGTCCATTTAGTCCAGGATCCTGTCTCACACAGCAGCCAACCAGTTCCTCTGGATGGCCAACAACAAGGCATAGAGGCCGAGACCTTCCCCTGATGTTGCCTCCTGACTCTGGGATTCAGAGGATTAGCGCCTCTGAATGTGAAGGTGCCCCTTAGTCACCACAGCTACTAGCCAGCAAACTTCACATTCGTATCTCTCTCTGCACAGAGAACAGAAGAGATTGGATTTATACTCTGCCCTTCACTCGGAGTCTCAGAGTGGCTTACAAACTCCTTTCCCTTCCCCTCCCTACAACAGATACCTTGTGAGGTAGGTGGGGCAGAGAGAGCTCTTTCGAGAACAGCTGTGCCAGAACTATGGCTTGCCCAAGGTCATCCAGCAGCTGCAAGTGGAGGAGTGGGGAATCAAACCCGGTTCTCCCAGATTAGAGTCCGCTCACTTAACCACTACCCCGAACAGTGTTTCCTTTTGTCTGTCCTGAACCTACTGCCCATCAGCTTCATTGGATGCCCTCAAGTTCTATTATTTTCAGAGAGGGAGAAAATTTACCTTTGTCAACTCTCTTCATCCCATGCATAATTTTATAAACCTCTATCATGTCGTGGTCCCCCTCCAGTCATCTATTTTCTAAAGTGAAAAGTCCCAGGCATTTCAGCCTTTACTCATAGGGAAGGTGCTTCAGCCCTCTAATCATCTTGGTTTGCCCTCCTCTGTCCTTTTTCCAGCTCTGCAGTGTCCTTTTGGAGATACAGTGACCAGAACTGTACACAGTATTCCAAATGAGGCTGCACCATAGATCTATACAGGATCATTACAATATCGGCTGTTTTATTCTCAATCCCTTTCCTAATAATCCCTAACATAGAGTTTGCCTTTTTCACCACTGTAGCACACTGGGTTGACACTTTCATTGAGCTATCTTTTTCCCTCTCAGTCTCAGCAAGTTCAGACTCTGTTAACCTATACTTGAAGCCAGGATTTTTGTTCCAGTGTGCACTTACCTCACACTTACCAACATTGAACTTCATTTGCCACATTGTCACCCACTTACTCAGTTATGTGGAGGTGATCTTAGAACTCTTCCCAGTCAGCCTTGGGTTTCACCATCCTGAATAATTTGGTGTCATCTGTAAACTTGGCCGCTCCACTACTCACCCTTAGTTCCAGCTCACTGATGAATAAATTAAATAGTAACCGCTCCAATACTGATTCTTGTGGGACCCCACTGCATACTTCCCTCCATTGTGAGAACTGTCCATTGATTCCTAGTCTTCGCTTCCTGCCATTTAGGCAATTTTTAATCCATAAGAGAACCCATCCTCTTATCCCATGACTGCTAAGTTTACTCAGGAGTCTTTGGTGAGGTACCTTATCAAAAACCTTTTGAAAGTCCAGGTATATAATGTATTCCGGGTCACCGTTATCTATATGCTTGTTCACTTTCTCAGAGAACTCCAGAAGGTTGGTGAGGCAGGAATTCCCTTTGCAGAAGCCATGCTGATTCTCCCTCAGGAAGCTTTGTCCCTCTATATGCCTAACAATTATATATTTGATTACAGTTTCTGCTAATTTGCTTGGGATAGACATTAGGCTGACTGGCCTGTAATTTTCCAGTTTCCATTTGGATGCCTTTTTAAAAATTGGAGTTATATCTGCTACTCTCCAGTTTTCTGGTACAGTGGCAGGCTGCTGACCCATTCTTGACTTCAGGGAATGTTTGACTTTGCAGATAATAGGTAGATAGTTGTTGGTGCTTGACCGTTCAGTTGACTAGCATACCATCCTAAGCAAGAGATGTTCAGAGGTTCATCAAGTAGGCTTTTTAACCCATATTGTATGTTTCTTGTTTCACAACCTTAGGGCAACCGTATCTTTGGGCTCGGTTGGATAGAAAACCCAACAAGCATGCCGAAAAAAGGTTTAAACGGTTCCTGTACTCAACAGACAACTCAAAAGGTTAGCAGCAATTCTGATGATTAACCTTTGGAAAATATATGTTGGAACACAGTGAGGGGGTGGTGAAGGCTTCTGTTGTCATCCCCAATCTTTCCCTTGCACTTTCTTTTCTTTCCATTCAGTTTTTGCGTGCATTTTTTCACAGTATGTCATGGTCTGAAATACCTACTTGAGAGTATGAGTAAAAGAGAGTATCTGTCTCTTGATTTTATATACCTATATGTGGCTGGGTGAAGGGGCAGAACTTCTAGATATGCTGGATGAGGGAGAAACAACAAAGAAGGCAGACCCGGGTTTCATCCTTCCCAACCAGGTAGCAGCTTTCTTAGCCAGTTTTGGGCTATGAAGCCACCGATGTTTTTTATCTAATGGTGACGTGATACCTGGTGTTAGATTATCATTGTTTTTCAAACAAGATTGAAAGGTAACCGACAAGAATCTTTCATTTTGAAACCCTGCATCCTTCTAAAGCAATATTAATGTTCAATAAATTACACTAGGCTCCCGTATTCTTACTCTTTAGTCTGCAGAGTCAGCATAGCCTTACAAAGCATTCTGGAGCATACTAGTTCCAACAGCGACAGTCCGAAACATTTCAACCATGTTCTACTTACATTCTTTTAGATATGGGTTTAAATGGAAAAATTCCACTAGAGTCAGTCAGTGGCTGGAAAGTTGCTGCTGCACTGAAAACATTGCCTATGATGGTTTGAAATTCAATTTTTTTCTGAGCAAGATTTGATCTTGCAAGAACATAGTCTTCAGCATTCTCCATTTGAATGGGACAGCACAAACATTTGAAGAATCAGCAATTTTTTTATCTTTTGCTTTTCACCTGCACAAATTTATAAATATAAATATAACTAAGGAAAGCCATATGAATAACTGCTGTCACCAGTTTATCCCAGGCCAAGTTATATTATTTGTTTAGAAGCTCATTGTAGTTACTAAATTGTTACAGTTACATAAAGCACTATTTCACATTCTTGCTTTAAGGATTTACTTGGGATATTGAAGAAGACTTCAAGCATGTCCCTGAATGCTGGATTCCAGCAAAGGCAATAGACCACTACAATGGGAAGCCTTTTCCTGATGAAAATGGACATATTCCAGGTAGAAAAATACAATTAGACGTCAAAGTTCATTCTGAACATTATTTTTAGTCATTTAGAGTTCACACATGCATCTTGACTACTACGATGCATCCATTTCAACATTCACCTTCAACTAATCAAGCGGTAAGTCAGTAATAACAAGTGATGCATGTATATATTTCCTGTTTGGATAACTTTATTCTACCTGTATTGTTTACATTTACAATATTAGATAGGCTGAGATGATTTCTCATCTAAATGCCTATACGATAGGCCCAAATTTGGTTCTCTTGACCACGCCAAAGTATACTTTATCACCCCCTTCCCCTTCAAGTGCAACAAACTTGGGCTCTTGCACATCTCCACTGCCAGTTAACACGGTGAGTATTTTTTTTAAAGTCAGTATTCATTTGATTTTCCTGGTACAAGGTAGCAACAAGTAGCAACTTATATTAATTACTCTTTTTATGCATATAAAGCCAATCTTGACAGATCCCATTTTTTATTTAGAAGATATGTAGTGTTTCTCCAGAGACCTGCTTGAGGTGTCTGAAAGTAATGACAGGATGATAACATCAATTATCTTGAAATTATATTAAAACATTTTTTGCTCTTCTCACAGGTTGGGTGCCAGTGGAGAAAAACAGCAAACAGTATTGCTGGCACACTTCTGTTGTGGACTATGAATTTGATCTAGGTCTTGTGCTGAAACACCACCCTGAGGAATCTGGTCTGCTGGAAATAAGTCCTGTACCCTTATCTGATCTTTCAGAGCAAACACTAGAACTTATTGGGACAAATGTTAATGCAAACCCTTATGGTAAGTATATTGTATATTCATCACGTCAGGTATTTTAAAATAAGGTTTTGCCAGGCAATAATATGTGCAGCAAAGCAGAATTACAAATGCAACTGTTCTGACTGATAAATAAAATATTAGGCTGCAAGCTATTGTAAATAATTAGTGCTAAAATAGTACATAGTACAATATAAATTAAGATTTTTGTGAAGGTCTGGCAGATATTGGTTAAGCTGTACTGATGTCACAGAGATGAGGAAGGATCTTTGGTTATCATTGACTGAGTTGCACAGATTCTAGGCAAGGACAGAACTGATAGAACAGCCTAGGAAAGGCAAGAAGAAATCACAGGCCTGTGAAAGCAGAGGTCAGGGATTTGAGATGGACGTGTGTGTGTGTGGGGGATGATTAGG